TCAATTTGGGATGATTTGTTGGCTATTCAGGTATTCCACAGATGCAGGGTACATCAGGTTGTTTGTGGAGATTTAATCCGCTGCTTCTGAGGCTGCTGGGAGAAAGTTCCCTTTCTCTTCTCTGTTCGCACAGCTGCCGGGGGTTCAGTTTTGGATTTGGCCCCGCCTCTGCGTGTAGGTCGCCTGAGGGCTTCTGTTCTTGCTCAGACAGGACAGGGTTAAAGGAGCTGCTCATTCGGGGGCTCTGGCTCACTGAGGCCGGGGGGGAGGGAGGGGTACGGATGCGGGGCGGGCCTGCGGCGGCAGGGGCCGGTGTGCCGTTTCACCAGCCTGAGGTGCGCCATGTGTTCTCCCGGGGAATTTGTCCCTGGGTCATGGGACCCTGGCAGTGGCGGGCTGCACAGGCTCCCGGGATGGGAGGTGGGGATAGTGACCTGTGCTCGCACAGAGGCTTCTTGGTGGCTGTTGGCAGCAGCCTTAGCGTCTCACGCCCGTCTCTGGGGTCCACGCTGATAGCTGCGGCTCACGCCCGTCTATGGAGCTTCTTTAAGCAGCGCTCTTAATCCCCTCTCCTCAGGGACCGGGAAACAGAGGCAAGAAAAGTGTATTGTCTCTTCGGCAGGTCCAGACTTTTTCCCGCACTCCCTCCCGGCTATCTGTGGTGCACTAGCCCCTTCAGGCTGTGTTCACGCATCCAACCCCAGTCTTGTCCCGGGATCTGACCTCCGAAGCCCGAGCCTCAGCTCCCAGCCCCCGCCCGCCCCGGCGGGTGAGCAGACAAGCCTCTCGGGCTGGTGAGTGCCGGTCGGCCCCGATCCTCTGTGCGGGAATCTCCCCGCTTTGCCCTCCGCACCCCTGTTGCTGCGCTCTGCTCCGCGGCCCCGAAGCTCCCCGCTCCGCCTCCCGCAGTCTCTGCCCGCGAAGGGGCTTCCTAGTGTGTGGAGACCTTTCCTCCTTCACAGCTCCCTCCCACTGGTGGGTCCCTATTCTTTTGTCTGTTTTTTCTTTTGCCCTACCCAGGTACGTGGGGAGTTTCTTGCCTTTTGGGAGGTCTGAGGTCTTCTGCCAGCGTTCAGTGTAGGTGTTCTAGGAGTTGTTCCACGTGTAGATGTATTTCTGGTGTATCTGTGGGGAGGAAGGTGATCTCCGTGTCCTACTCTTCTGCCATCTTCTGTCTCTCTCAGTGGTTTTAACTGATAGAGCTGGGGCCTAATGACTCTAAGGCAAGGCAGGTATCCCCATATTACAGGGTCCATTTGCTGGCTATAATACCCTATGGGTCAATGGTGGTCCCTGTGTTATGGGATGAGTACCCCAAGGGTATTTTCTTCTTTTTCATATAAAAAAAGCAAAAAGGGAATCTAATATGTGGGATGCCCCAGGGCAGGTGGGTTCTTCAATCTCTCCTTTAAGGCCTTAAAAGCTACGCCATCTGATTTTTCCCATTAAATTTCGCTGGGGTTGTTATTCTTGAATAAAACATACAGAGGTTTGTCCATAAGAGAGAAATTTGGGATCTCATTTCAGCGTAACCAACTAACCCAAGAAATAGTCACAGATAGTGTTTAGTTTGGGGTTTTGCGAAACTTAGGACACTATAAAGTTTATCTGGATATAGGTGTAGTTCTTGTTCTGATATCAGATGCCCTAAATATCCAACCTGGGTTTGGACAAACTGCAGTTTTTCTTTGGTAATTTTATGTCCCTTTGAGGCTAAAAGCTTTAGCAAGTGGATGCTGTCTTCCTATGAGGAGGCTTGAGAAGGAGAGCAAAGAAGCAAATCATCCACATATTGCAACAAAATAGAGCCTCTAGGGTAACTTATATCATACAGATCAGCCTTCAGGATTTGAGAAATAAGGACTCAGTTAAACCTGAGGCATTAGTGTCCAAGTGAATTGTTTTTCTTCCCAAGTGAAGGCAAAAGTTACTGGCTGGCTTCGTCAACTGGAATACTAGAGAATGCACTGCATAAATCAATTACAGTAAAGAATTCACTTCCAGTGAGAATGGATGTTAGTAACATATGAGGGTTAGGAACAACAGGGGGTCGAGGGATAACAGTGTTGTTTATTACTTGGAGGTACTGGATGAACCTCCATCCTGGGTCCTTAGGTTTTCTCACAGGTTAAATAGAAGTATTAGAAAGACTAGTATAGAGATAATGATGCCTTGAGACCTGTAATCTTCTATTATGGGCTTCATGCCTTGAAGGGCTTCTTTACTTATAGGGTATTGATTAATTCTGGGAAGAGGTTTTGAGGGACTTATCTGAATCGTGATGGGAGGCATGCTGTAAATTTTGCCAATATCAGACGGAGATTTTGTCCGTAGGAGGGTGGTAGCTGATTCAATAGGGACAAATAATCAGAGTTTTCAGAATCAGCTCTAGGACTGTCAGAGCTGAAGCAATTAAAGATGTCAAACGGTGATTTAATTTACATGATTGGTTACTTTGATGACTATTGTCAAATCTAGAATTATTTTCACCCTTTGGGATAAAGAAACTCTGCCATGGATACTTCTTTAAGAGGTCTTGACCTAATAAATGGATAAGGGCAGAGGAACTAAGGAGAAAAAGGTGTGTATCTCTCAAAGGGCCTAAACAAAAGGGAATAGGTTCAGAGATAGGACGCTCTTGGGGTTCATTAGAGATCCCACTCTTTGAACTGTTTTAGTACTCCAAGGCAGGGACTGCTTTGTAGTAGTGGCATTGAGTACCAAGATTGTGGTTCCATTGGCAGTTAGGACTGGAAGAGATTCATCCCCAATCTGGAGAAATGTTTCTACAATTCTATTAAGTGGGAAGGTTGGGAAGAGCCCCTGTAGTCCCCCTGAGCCCCATTGTTGAGAATTCAGAGGACATTGGAAAGACTGGTTAGAGGGCAGAAGGTGCCCTCTAAAATGCTTAAATTTGTAACAATCTTTTTTCTGACGTCCTGGCTCTTTGTGGCAAACTGGGAAGGTTTTGGTTTCTTTTAGGGACCTTCATTTGTTGGAGTTGAAGATTAATAAGAATTTCAGTGGTTTTTCATTGAGGTGACTCATTTCGAGTGAGAGACAGCTGGTTTGCCAGATTCACTAGACTCTGGAGTGGAAAACTCTAGTTTCCCATCCCATCCTGGTTCTTTTTACTAGAAGGGAATGGTTCTGGTTCAGCCCATTAATAAATATAAAGTTTAAAGCTATCTGAGTGGAATCAACCTCTAAAAGATCAGAATTTTCTTTAAAAATTATCTGAAGTTGATTGTAATAGTCATGAGCAGATTCATCAGGTTTTCATGTAAAAGCCTGAATTTTGTTCCAATCAACAGGTTTTGAAAAAGTCACCTAGCAGTTGCCCAAGCTTGATCATATGTAAGTTAGCAGGTTGGTCTCTGTGTTTTACTCTTAGGTGTTGATGGAAATAATCAATAAACAATCTGTAATAGGAATAGAAAAGAGTTTTATTTGCCAAACTGAGGACTGTAGCCCCGGAGACAGCCTCTCAGATAACTCTAAGAAACTGCTCAGTTGAAGCACGGTTTTTAGCATAGTCATATACCTTATCAGAGCAAAGAACATACATCAAACACGACAGGGGTATATTCTTCAGGTATCCAAAAGAGACAGGTTTAGTATATAGAGAGTGAGACAACAGGACCCTGGTGTCTGGGAAGTGAACCTTATCTTTGAGGGAGTGTTAATATGGATGTCATAAGAAGGGAGATTTTTTATCCTTATCTTCAAAACAGACATTCTTTACCTTAATGGTTAAAGCAGATGTATTGTGCGCTCTCCCTCTCTCCCCCTCTCCCTCCCTCTCTCTCTCCCCCCTCCCCTCTCTCTCTCCCCTCCCCTCTCTCTCTCCCCTCCCCTCTCTCTCTCCCCTCCCCTCTCTCTCTCCCCTCCCCTCTCTCTCTCCCCTCCCCTCTCTCTCTCCCCTCCCCTCTCTCTCTCCCCTCCCCTCTCTCTCTCCCCTCCCCTCTCTCTCTCCCCTCCCCTCTCTCTCTCCCCTCCCCTCTCTCTCTCCCCTCCCCTCTCTCTCTCCCCTCCCCTCTCTCTCTCCCCTCCCCTCTCTCTCTCCCCTCCCCTCTCTCTCTCCCCTCCCCTCTCTCTCTCCCCTCCCCTCTCTCTCTCCCCTCCCCTCTCTCTCTCCCCTCCCCTCTCTCTCTCCCCTCCCCTCTCTCTCTCCCCTCCCCTCTCTCTCTCCCCTCCCCTCTCTCTCTCCCCTCCCCTCTCTCTCTCCCCACTCCCGCCCCAGCCACCCACACCCCCTTAGGTTGGCTCGGACTCAACCACTGTCAGCTCCTCCCCCTCCTTCCCCGTCTTCACCCTTCCTTTCACTCCCTTCCCCTCGCCCTTTGGTTACGTCAGGCGGACACGCCCATGAGCCAATCACGGCGCTGCGTTGAGAGGCCTGCAAGCGGAACCAGTCGGATTGGACCAATAGAAGCCCTCGGGTCCGGCGCGCCCCAACCGGGCAGGGGAGCCGGGGCCGAGTGGGCGGTGCTTCCCCGTCAGCATGTGGGCGGGGACCAGCAACCGCAGAGGCGTCGACGACGGCGGCAGCGACGACGACGTTCCTCAGTTTTCGGGGTAGGCTCGGCGGCGCTGGCAGGGCTACGCGGAGCTGTCGGCGGTGGCCCTAGGGAGGCCGCGGCGCCATGGCGGGGCGGTAGACGTGCTCAGGCCGGCGAGGCGAGAGGCGGCGGTGTTCATCCGGTCCGCAGCGCCCTTCGGCAGGGGCCGGGGGTGGGGAGGACCGGGTCGGGGGTCGTCCCGGGCTGCGCGGGGCCGCGGGGCGGGGCTCGCAGGCCGTCTGGGTGCAGGAGGCCTGCGC